CACTGCCCAAGGGCCAGGCTGCCTGGGATGGGCCTGGGCAGGCCCTGCCCCCGGGAGAGCACAGGGCTGGGGAGAAGCTGCGCAGGAGGCGCACCCACAGGGTCAAGCCCACGGGAGGCCACGGGCGCCCCAACCCATACCAACCACGGGCCGGGCCACCTCTGGACCCAAATGGCCCAGGAACTCAGGCTGCGGGGAGCGGCCAAGCAGAAGACACAGGCAGGCGCGGCTCCGGGCTCCTGGCTCCAACCCGCCACCTGCAGCATCTCGTTTCCAGACACAGGAGGACAGCGGGGCTCCCCCTGCCCCGTCGTCCTGCGATCTCTCCGTCCTTGCGCTCTGATAATCCCAGCGGCTTCTAAACACGCTTCCTGCACAACGAGGCGCAGACGCCCAGCCAGTCACAGCAGCAGCCGCGGCGCAGAGCCAGCAGCTCAGCAGCAGCAGCAGTCCATGGCGAAGGCCGCGCTTCACGGCCACAGCAGAAATACAACCAAGACTGGCTCTGCTTCTAAGGCTTCACTCCAGGCGTTGAAATGGGCTAAACGCGGGGGTCCGGCTCCTGGAAACAGCCAGGTGGCAGAAAGAGGCCAGTTCCCGGCACAGCCAAGTCGGGTCAGAGCCACAGGCTGGGAAGATGGACGAAGGCCACGTCCACCGGCCCTGAGGGGGGGCGTCCGCCCAACGGTCACCTCACAGGGCAGTCTCGGGTACGGTGTGAGGGGGAGACCCGGATAAGGGACAAAGAAGGCAAGACCAGACCTTCCAGAAGGTGAGTGGCGAGAACCCCATGACGGGGCAGATGGGGGACAAGGGGGGTGGGGGGCTGCCTGGCAAGGGGCGCACGGCCGCTGGGTGCGTGAGGCCACGGCACCCCCGCAGACCAGCGTCTGGAGGGCGGCTCCCTGAGGGCGCAGGAGGCTGTGATGTGCCCAGTGCTAGCCACGCTGGAGGGCTCGCCAGGCCCAAGCACCTCGAAACGGAGCCGGTCAGAGAGAGGCTGGAGGCGCGGACAGCAGACAGCAAGGCCCGCGCCCCGGGGGACAGGTGAGACGGGGGAAGCCTCCCAGAGAAGGGGCTGCGGGGGACCCGCACCCACACAGGATGCGCCCTCCTCGGAGACCAGAGGAGGCTTCAGGGCCGGAGGGAAACAAGACCGCTGTGGACGGGGAGCCCCGGGGGCGGCCGAGGGAGCGGGACCCTCCGAGAACCCTGGTGTCACGTTGTTCATGAGCCAGGCTCGGGCCGCGCCTCAACGCGTGATTTTCTTGAGCAGACAACAGAGCCCCGCTGCGCCCGCCCCACGCCAGCCTCCTGCTCCGGCGATCCCACCTCACCTCCCAGGCCCGCCAGCTCCCGCTGCTCTCGGGGTGCACCCATCTCCCCACTTAATTTTCTCCTGGCTTCCCAGGGCTCCTTTTGCCGTTGGAGGCCGCTGCGGGTGTGGCGCCAGCGTGAGCGGCCTGGGGCGCGTGGTGTTCCCTTCTGTTGAAAGCCATTTAGAGCAGGCAGGTTCGGAGTGTGGGCGCCCCTCCTCCTGCCCCATAACACGCCACCCGGGACACCCGGGACACCCGGCGGTCGCAGCCTCCTGTGCCCCGGCAGGAGTGAAGGGTCACGGATGCCGTTCTCCCCCCACTTTCTTCAGCCCCCTGTTCACTGGACAGGCGGAGGCCACGGGGCCTGTGGGACCTGCCCCTCCCTGGGGCTCTCTGCGGCCTCCAGGTTCCCGGCCCAGGCTGGAGAGGCGCTGAGGTATTATTTTTTAAACAAAGCATCGACCCCAGCAGCTGCGAGCCGACGCTGAGCCCTTCCATTGGGCTTCTCAGCTCAGTTCTCGAATTCTTTACGTCCACGCTCTCGAGGACGCGTTCTCGTATTTTGCCTACCCTTGTTCCCCGACTGTTTTTCTCATTTCCACCAGAGTAGTTAGGACTGTCGCTTTAAACCCTTGCTCAGTGAGTTCCCTAGTCCTGGTGGATTCAGATTTCCCAGAGGGCTTCTGGGCCATCTGCACGATCCTCTGTGTCTTCATGTTCATTCTCGTGGGTTCAGCTAAACAGCCCCTCCCCCTCACGCCGTGTGCTGGCCTTCCACGAAGATGGCAGGTTGCAGGCTGTAGCCTGGGCTGTGTGCCCAGGACCCCGGGGTGTACGGCTGCCAGGCTGAGGCCGCTGCACCTGTTCGGGGAGCGGGGCTGGGGCAGGTGGAGGGTAGGAACCAGCAGCAGGGGTCGGGAGGCTGTGTGTGCTAAGGAGGATGAGCGTCCAAGACGCCACAGCTGCAGGCGCTTCTGCAGAAGGGACCAGGGTCAACCCCTCTGCAGGGTCAGGGCCCATCCTCCCCGAGAACCCCAGACTAGCACTGACCCGGCAGCCATGGTCCAGCTCCAGTGTGTAGGATCTGGGCCAGTAGTGTCCCCCAGGGGTGCAGGCGGGAGCAGAATGAACTGGGAGCTGCTGGCTCAGCTGTGGGCAGGCTGCAGCTCTGACTGAGGCGTAGGAGGAGGAGCAGGTGTTTCTCGGGCCTGTTGGTGTTGCACGGGGACCCTCCGCCCTCGATGCCCAGCCCCAGGCCCACGAGCTGCCTGCAGGCAGAGCAGGCATGGGGGGGTGGCATTCTACGCCCTCCAGCGGGGCCCGAGGGCTCAGGCAGCAGCAGCGCCGGCTGTGGTGGTGGGCAGCAATGGTGGCCCTGCCGCGCCCCAGGCCAGGAAGGCCTGGGTCAGGTCTGCGGGGAGGAGCATGGGCCCCACCTGGCCAGCTCCGGCACCGCCTCCTCCAGCTGCAGGCCCTGGAGAGGCCCCTGGACTTGGTGCAGGGATCCTAGAAGGGACAATGCGGTGCGAGCCATGAGCTGATTGGTAAATGGTCCAGCGTAGGCCCGAAACAGTCCAATCGGAATTGCGGGTGGGCCTTGCGGAGGAGATAAGGTGGTGCAGCGCCAGCTCGGCTCTCGGATGCGGTTCCGGGCCGGGCCAGGCCGCAACCGACTCAAAGACGGGAGAGGCGCTGACAAACTTTACAGAAAGCCTCACAGAGGCCGGGGCACCGCCCTTGGGCGGCTCTGCCGCTGCCTGAAAGGAGCACTGAGGCCCGGCCGGGGGCTCAGGAGTGTCTGCTGTTCGTGTGGGCCAGTGGCTCACAAGGAGCTGGCAACACGGTGTTTCTGACACTGCTGCCTCCTGGTGACCGGAGCTACCAGCCAGTGCTGCCCTGCCTGCTGATGGCTGACCAGCACCGTCCAGCCACCCCTGAGGGTTGCAAACCATCCAGCGCCGCCTCCTGGTGCTGCTGCCTCCACTGCCGGTCCAGCGTGCGGCACTGTCCATGCCGACCTTCTGAGGTTGGACCCTGGCCCGCTGCTTGCCGGCTGTGAAGCACTACAGGCTCTTGTTGAGGGGACAGCGCCATCCTGGATGAGTAGCCTTGTGCTTAGGACTTCGGGATGCTGTGGACACTACCTGAGGCGAGCTGGACACCACCCACGGCCTTAAGAACTCTGTTTCCCCAGTTGCTGTTCCTGCGCCTGCATGGGTGAGAGCCCACAGAGGGCGTCTGTCCTATTGGCCCCGTCCCTGGACGGCGAGCGCCCCGTGATCGCTGTCTCAGCGTCATTTGTGGAAGACAGGCTCCCCTAGGCCCCTCCCAATCCTGACTCCAGGCTTGTGGCCGAGGGGTGCCCCTGGGGCACACGTGGCTAGGGTCCGCTCCCGGTGGTTCCCCTGACTGGGCCTGCCCGAGGCGCAAGCGCTGGCTGCCAGGGCCCAGGGCCCTGAGTCCTGCCCGAGGTGCAAGCACAAAGGGGAAGGTTATCCAGGCAAGGGCCCCGGGGTGGGGGCAGAAGGGAAGGGCCGGACAGGTGTTTCACCTAACACCGCGGCTCTTGTGTGGAGTAGCCGCTACAGGAGGCCGCAGGACCTGCCACCTCCACCGGGCGCCGCAGGCCCAGCCCATTGGTGGCCGCCGTGGTGAGCGTCACACCGGTAGCCGCGGGGCCTGTGGGGCGGCCTCGAGCACCCTGCGCAGGTGTCTCCTGGCGACCACACAGTGTGGACGTGGCCTCCTCTGCCAGCGTGGGGTCGTCCCCGAGGAGGGCCTGTTTCCCATGCCAGTTGGGGGCAGCCGCCCTGTAAGGCAGCCCCAGGTTCTAAGACCCCAGTGTGGGCCCGAGCCCTGCAGTCACCAACAAGACCTGGCGCCACCCTTGCAGCTGCCCCGGCTCGGCTGCACCGTCCCAGTGTGTTCTGAGCGGAATCACATCGCAACGCCCCACCCTCTTCCCAGTCGCCTTTCCTTGGGCAAACGGTGCTCCTCCAGCGCCCTCCAGGACCGCCTCCGCGAGGGTTCCACAGCGCGTGTGTGGAAGAGGTGGGCCTGGCCTCTTCAGTCTTCCACCATTTTGCTGGACTCCTGACATACCTTAAAGTGGGCAGGCTCAGGCCCAACTAAGCCACTCCACTGGCGCCCAGGAGGGCACCCACCCTTGGGTACCAGGCAACCCTTCCTGGCGGCAAAGCGCCACCAGGCGCCCAAATGTCAAAGCGGGGGTTGAAGTAGCAAGCAGCACGCAAGGAGACGCCAGCCCCGCCGAACCTTAGGGAATGATGGAAAACAAGAGCGCAGGCACCCGCCGAACGAGGAAGGACACGGCTCTGCCAGGGGGCGCGCGCGGAGGTCACCGGGCATCCCGAGCACCGAGTCCCAGGAAGAGGCTGGGTGGGGAGAACACAGCACATCCACCACCTCTCGCCCTAATGCGGGGTGGGCTGGTGCACAGAAGCAACACACACACACACACACACACACACACACACACGTTACCTACACTGTCTTGGGCGTCAGTATCACACACAAACAGTTTCAGAGCCATCAGCGGCTCCTGTGGGCGGTTACATCCCCAGGGCAGCCCCGCCACACCAACTGTCCTGCCAGGCCGGCAGGCGTCCGGGCGCTGACAGAGGCAGGCCCTCTGCGGGAATTTCCCGTGCCAGCTCTTACCTCCGTCACTTTGGGTTGAAGAATTAATGCTTCGGGACTCATCCGAGGGATGTCTATGTGGATCTGGGGTGGGGAGAAAGACACGTCCGGTTACAAGGTGACAAGCATTATACGGCCTGGTGACTAAAACGGGGACACTTAACAATGGCCACGGAGTTCCTCTGGCCAGGCCCTGCTCTCCCCAGAGAGAGGCGGGGCGTGGGCCGCACAGGCTGGGGGACCAGCGCCCAGCCCTCGGAGACGGGCAGCGCGGTTGCCGGGCAACGAGGCCCGCAGCAGGCCCTCAGCTATTTAGTAACGTAATCCATAGCAATTAGTAAACATTGATTCCCAGCCTCTGACACGGCAGCAATTCCAGCACGTCAATATGTACAAGTTCTTGCTGTGACAGCTGCTTCTCGGAACCAGGCCCCGTCTTTCCCGCCACGTCCTCGGAGAACCTGGCGCTTTTCAGAGGAAGCCTTTAAAGATCTCTGCTGGCGTGGGCGGCTCCCCACTGGGCCTCCTGTCTGGCACAAGTCTCAATAAAGCCCCACGCCGCAAAGGGCCACACTTGGGGGTCAGCAAGTGGCCATGCAGGCACCCAGGGCTCCCCGTGAGCAGTGCCCGTGGCCAGCGCCACCCCCACCCATGTGTACCAGCAAATAGCCCAAACCGGCTCAGGAAGACACGCAGACCTTAGTGCCCAGAAGTGGGGGGCGGTCCACATCCCTCCCCCATCCTTGCACCTGGTACCCAGGGGCCCAGGACTCCGCCTGGCAAGGCCCCACAGTGCCGGGACCTGGGTAGGTGGGGCCAGGTGAGACCCTGGGCTCGAAGCCCGCCACCCTTCGTGGGGCACTTAAGGGGAAGATCAAGTGAGGTGGTGGCTGAATAGCCCGGAGCCGTCACACATGGCGCCAGACTCAGGGGGCGGCTGCTACACTCCCAGGTTCCCCTAAGCTCCTGCCACCAGCACTCCAGCCTGTGTGTTGCCAAGCGGAGAGGGCGGTGGCACCTCGGCCACACCTGCCGGCTCATGTGTCCTGAGGCGGCCCATCGTGAGCAGCTCCCAGCCCTGCCCAGGCCACCCCCGAGTGGGCCTGGGTGACCAGGGAGGCCCGAGTGCTGCAGAGCGCCTTAGAGGGCGACACACCACATGGGCCTGTAACGCCGCCCGGCTCCCCCGCGTTGTCAGCAAAGGCGTAATGATGCTTAAAGATCAGATGAACGGGCACAAAGGGGGAGGGGAAGCAGGCCACGGCCCCCCAAGGGTCCCAGGGGGCCAGCAATGGGCCCCAGGGCCACTCCCTGCGGCAGGCGGCAAGGAGGCCCAGGGCCGCCGGCAGAGCCAGGCCTGCCACGGGCACAGCCTGCCGTACGGCCGCGCTCCGCTCTACCCACGTGGAGACGCTGGGGATTCGTGATCACGTGGAGGCTTTTTATTACCTATCACGGTAACTGAATAAAGATGTATGCAGCCCGTTTTTAATTAACTTTCCCTCAAGAAATTCACAGCAGAATACAGCCTAGTAAATCCTGTGAGAGATGCCAACGTTCCCCTGCAGAAGCCTTTCCTGTGAGGGAAAATACAGCAAAAACATGGTCGAAACAAGCCCAACTCCACCCATTTCCTGAAACGAGTGACGTGGGGCGTGAACCGGGCACACTGGCAGGCGGCCGGGCACTGCAGGGCGGCCACGGGCACAGGGCAGGCTCCGTGGGCACCGGCGGGGCACCGGGTCCACCTTGAGGGCGTGGTGTGGGGATCCACGGAGCTCAAAAGCCTCAGATTATCCATCAGAGACAAGGCTCTTCTCCGGGCTGTTTAACGGCTCTGCAGCAAGCCCACAAGGGCGGCGGCGGCCCCGCACCTGGGGCAGGCCAACCCCTTCACCTGAGGCAGGGCTCCCAGGAGGGCCCCCAGCCCGCCGCGGCCCCTGACAGCCAGGCGCCAGCTCCAGGAACGCGGCGGCCCCAGTGTCCACGTCACAGAGATGCCGGGGTCTGAGCTCGCGGGGCTGTCCCAGCGGCGAGTTCTGGGCGCCGGAGCTGTGGGTCAGCCCGGAGGGCCCCTCCCGTCACGCTCGCCCGGCCGGCAGACTCCAGAAGTGCGATCACACCACCCCACAGTCAGCTACACAGCACACGACGCCCACTGCGCCTTCGGCTCTTGGGCTGCGGGCTGAACTATGTCCCCCAAATCAAGGGGCGCAGAGGAGCACTCTCAGGACGCACCCCGACTGCCAAGCGCCCGGGCTGTGGGCGCAGAGTGGGCCAGGCGGCAGGGCCAGCCCGCCACCCTCCTCGGGAGCTGCCCCGGGAGGCGGAGCCCCGGGAGCTGTCGAGGCTGCAGCTTCGCCCCGGGAGGCGGGCCTGGGAGAAGACAGCGCGCCGAGGAGCGCTTCGCCTTGCTGCTTTGCAACACTTTCCATTTATTAGAAAGTTAAAACCTGTGACCCATCAGGGAGGTGTCGGGGGAGACAGCCGCCCCCGAGCCCGCGCCAAGGCGCAGCCAGGTGACGGAGGCAGGCGCCCACCTGTCGGTACGTGTCCCGGTGCGCCTCATCATCGCGAGAGCCGTAGTAGCGCTCGACGAACGTGAAGTACTCCCTTTGCTTCCGCTGCAGGGTGGCCGGCCTGCGCTCGGCGTTGGCGGGGAGGTAGCCCTGGGGAGGAAGAACAGGGTCGACGCGGTCAGCGGCAGCACTGCTGGGTGTCTGCAACAGAAGCTCCAGGCCTCACAGGGCCGGCCGTGCTGCGACCCCCGCGGGGGTGGGGAGGGGGGCACCACATCACCAGGGACGAGGGGCAGGCTGCTCCCAGACCCTGCAGCCTGACCGCGCGGGGCACCCGCTCCCGCAGCCGCCAACGGATCTCGCTCCTCGGACACAGGACGGGAGAGCGCGCTCGCCCCCGCCCCCACGGCCCTGCACGGGCCCCGCGCACCATGTGGGAGCAGAATCTAACGGGTGTCAACTCCAGCACAAACCACCACACGTGTGGGCGTGTGTTCCAGGCACACAGCAGCAGACACGTGTGTGCACGGGGCCCGTGTGTGCGCACACACGCTCCTAGGCGGATGCCCGCCTCTCTCCCACGGCTCCGGGGCTTGGGGCTGCGCCAGTCCTGATTCGGAAGGCGGACACGGCGGCAGAGAGGGCGGGCGCCGGGGCCGAGAGGCACTCAGAGGCCAGTGCTTTCTAAATCGACGTCACTGAAGTCCCGGATCAAACACGCAGGCCTGTCCACGTACACGGCCCAAGACGGGGCAGGGCCGACAGCCATGCACCGCTGAGCCCAGGGGACGGGGCCTCGCCCCACCCCAGAGCTCCCTGGGGACGGGCCACTCACTGCAGGGCACCCGCACTCCCTGGCCACAGCAGCGAGGCCCCCGCGCCGCTGCCCCACACGCAGCCCCTGCTCCTCTGAGCAGAACCCAGCGGTAGAGCGGCTCCTTGGCCAGTCGAGCGCGAGGCTCTGGGGGTTCCAGCTGGGGCTACACGGACACAGCTGGTCAAGGGCCTTCTGGCCCAGAGCTCGCCGTGCTCTGGCTTCCCAGGGTGCACACCAGGAGCAGTCTCGGTCACAACGCAGCCCAGGGGGCCAATCTCGGCAGGTCCGTTCCCAGGGATGATACCACGGGCACCAGCTCAGGCACAGGAGGTGGGCGGAAGCGTGGCCAGGTCCCGGCAGCTGCCCGGTCAGCCCCTCTGTGACTCCACCCCCAGGGCTCCTGCTGCTGCGCGGCCTGTCCCCCTGGCTCCTCCCTGGCGAAGTGTCCAAATCTCCTGCCACTTCTCAGTCGGGCCGCCTGGCCTACTGGTGAGGGCCACGAGCTCGGGAGACGGGAGCCCCGAGCTGCCACGGCTCCAACGTCAGGGCTTAAATTGTCCCGAATTCCAGCTAACAAAGGCCGTTCTTTCATACTTCCCGCCACTGTCTCCCTGGTTTGTCCTACCTGGCCGCCCCTCCTCACCCCAGGGGGCCTCCTCCCAGGACACCTCTCAGTGGCCCGAAGCCGGACCGGTCAGTCAGTGCTCAGGGGGCTCTGGCTCAAGGCTTCCGCACGGCAGGCACCCCACGCCTGCTGGGTGAGTTCAGGCGTGCGCAAGTGAGTGATGAACACGCCTGCGGGGCGGCCTGCTGTCCAGGGCACCTGGGGCCGCGGCAGACCTCCTGTGCCCCCCTCGCCCACGCCCCCGCCACCCCACCCCATTCTCACCCTCGGCCAGCAGTGGTGGGACCGCCCACCCCAGGCCACAGCCCGCCAGCCCCACACAGGCCTAAGGCCCACCCAACCCTCTGCTGTGCGGGGCACCAGGATCATGTGGACGGCAGGGCGGGGGGCCACCCGTGGCCACGCAGGGATGCCAGGGGAGGGGCTGTGTGCCTGCAAGGCACAGACGTTCCCGCGCGTTCCTGGCACCTCCACCAGCATCTGCTGTGCTGCAGGCGACTCACACGTGACTCCACATACGCTCACGCTGTTGGAGCTGCTTTTCAATGGGCACAGACCGAGGAGCGTGTGCGCACCCACAGCAGGCTGGCTCCCCTGACGGGCCGGCTGGCCACGGGGCCTCCATCCCCCCCACACCCCGGCTGTGACCCAGCAAACGCGGTCCCATCCCGATCTCACCAGGGAGCACCTCCTTGGCCGGCTGCTGGCACGCGGGCTAGAGTGCGGGGGCCACCCCGGGGCTGCGTGGGGTGGTGGCTCCCACCATCACACACGACGTCCACGCACAGCCCATCTGCGTCCACCCAGGGAGCCAGCCCTGCCACCCACGCTCCCGCCCAGCAGGACCCACAGGGTGCTGGGATCACTGTGTCCAGACCCTTCCGAGGGAGAGTGCTCCCTGGGCGCGGGAGCACGGCCCATCTGCGCCTTCCGCTCCCCATCAACCAGCTTCCCTGCACACCCTGAGGGCAGGGGCCCTGCGAGACGCAACTTCTGATCTGCACCCAGAGTGACGCCGGCCCACGCCCTCCGCACAGCCGCCCCACACCTCCCCACGAGGCCCCGCACTCGCGCCTGCGCACACCGGCCAGCCGCCCTCACAGTCCAGGCTCGGCCGCGGCACCAAGAGCCTCCCTCCCGCCCGCCCAGCCGCGCCGCCACCGCCCTGCGCAGGGTTCTGAGCGCGCGGCCTGAGCACCACTGGTTTTCTTGAGGCGCGCGCACGCTCGGCAGTGATCCGTGAGCCCAAAGGGCATGGGGACGGTCCCAGGTTCTCAGTGCTATTTCCCGGTCGCCCAGGCGAGGCAGCCGGCACACCTTCACAAGTGGGGTGTCTCCGTGAAAAGCGGGAGTCCCGTGAGGCTCATCCCTTCGCCAAGCAAGGTGAGGCCACTGCCGCACTGGCCCGGAGAACGCGCCGTCCACAGGGCACCCCTGGCGTGGGAAGCAGCAGCGCACCTAAGGCAGCCGAGCACCCCGGGGCCCGCCGGCCCTCCCCACCGAGCAGGGCTGGCCTCGCCCCTCGCTCGCGCACACAACCCCTCGGCCTCTCCTGAGCCCCTGGGCCTCTGCCTGGGCCCCTCCGCGCTCGGGACCCTCGGAACCTCGGGGGCCAGCAGGGGAATGGCGGCGCCCTGAGGAAGGTCACACCACCACAGGGGGCGTCCCGCAACAGCCTGGCCCCTGGGGGGCAGAGGCGCAGGGCAGCAGCCCAGGGAGAGCGGCCTTCAACCAGGGCAGTGGGCCCCACGGAGGGAAGCCAGGAAGACTGCGGGCCGTTTACAGGGTGCTGGGGGACAAGGACCCAGAAATTCTCCCTGTCCCCAAATTTTGATGCAACGTGCCGAAGCGGTAATCCCAGAAGGCAAGCGTGTGAGGACGGGCGCACAGGCGAGGAAAAGCCCACACGGACTCCTGACACGCCCGTCCCCGAAGGAAAACACACAGACGCGAGTCGAGGCCTTTCGATAATTAAGCAAGACTAGAAATTATGCAAATGAAATAGATTCGAGTGTGCGATGAATTTTAAATGACAGAACTACAGAAACCTTAATTGCTGTATTAGCATGCTACAAAAACACCAATCATAAATGTAAAACAACGCACGCACACACCGACGCGGAAGCCGTCCCGGGACGCAGGCATCGAGGGGCCCCCGCCCCGCACCCGCGCGCCCCCCGTGCTGGGAGCGGCCGCACGACGCCGAGCTGCGCGTCATTTCCAACCATCCCAGGCGCCGTCGCAAACGCGGGTGTTTAGTTAGCGTAGTTCAAAGTGTCTGCAATAGTCACTTACAAAAGAGCCAGAAATGTGATTCTCTACAGCACTAATTTTAAACCCTTCCTGCCACGCCCGCTTGGGAATGAACTGCGAAGCGGCACGAGGAGGCTCAACGACACGTTCTAGACAGAGTAGCTGTGGCTCCGGAACGACGAGAGCCAGTCTCGTCTCTGCTCGTCAAGGGGCGCTTCCCACTCAGCCAGTTGGCGGGGCGCGGCCGGTGGGAGAGGAGGGTCCTCACGCTGCCTCCGCTCGCTGGCCCAGGAGGTCCTCTGGCCCCTGCGCCCCAGCCTCGGCCGCGGCCTGGAAGGAGTGGCTGGGACACCCTGCCCCACCCCGCCCTCGATGAGCCCACCAGGACCTGGCCCAGGCCCCATGTGCCGCCCCCAGGGGGTCCCCCGCCCTGGAAGCCCCTGGGAGGGGGTGCCGGGAGCGCCCGCGGCCCTGCTGCTCAGCCAGGGTAGGCGCTCGCTGACCTGCAGAAACGCTGAGGGCCAGTACCCCGAGACGCTGACTGGCTTTGTGGGGCCAGGTGTCAGGCTCTGCAGAAGCCCCCAGGGACTGGGAATAAAGCAGGGCTGAGCACCCACCGCAGAGACGAGCTGAGGGGCAGCCCCGTGGGGAGGCCCGTTCTCTGCACCCTCGCCCTGAGCACCTGCTGGCCCTTCTCCCCCACTTCCCCCAAGATACTTCGAGCGAGGCGCCTGAGGGAGGCGTGAGAAACATGTGCTGAAGCAGGGCTGCGTGACGAGCACCCTGCACAGTGCTCCCCAAAACCTCTGTCAGAGAGACAGTGGAGGCCGCTGTGCAGGCACTGGCCGTGTGTGAGAGACAAAAGACCCCACCCTACTCCCCTGCTCGGAGACCCCCAGAAGGACACACATGGACACATTCATTTACTCCATGGAAGGCCAACGGGCCATCTGTCACCCCCTCATCCGGGGTCTCGGCGCCACGACCTGCAGGGACTGAGAACAAAGGGAGAAACAGCAGGACAAAGCGAGGCCCCGGGGCCGTTCAGGAACGCAGAACTCAGCAGAGGGCTGGGGCGTAATCGCCCAAGCATCCCACAAGCCACCCCCAAAAACTTGCACCCTATCTCGGAGGACACCAGCAAAACTGGTTATAAACATTTAAAATTAAAAACCCCAAACAAAAATACAAGCGATTGCGGCAGGTCTAATTTTAATTGCATGAGAATATTTGATCAATAAATATTCACCGCTCAGAGCCGCATCTGCATTCTGGATTACGAGGCACTAAGCTGCAAATTTATTAAGACTCATTAGCAAGAAGTCTTTTAAATACTGAAAGTCAGACCCAATTTAGAGTAAATGCTCCGAGCTCCCTATTGACTGAGCTCCAGAAATCATTAAAAAGGCAGAGGAGACTGTCGATGGCCAGCTGACACCTCAGCAGCGCCAGCTCCGCACCACCAGCCCAGGCCCAGCGCCCACCCAGCCCGCTCCGGGGTCCCGGGGACGCGGCCGGCCGGGGCCACCCCCTCGGCCACAGAAACAGGCCGCTCTGAAGTGGGCCCGGACCCAAGCTCGTTCCTTGTCACCATTTCTTAAAACCCGCGGTCAGATATATGTCTTGCTATTGATTCCTCGGAGTTGAAATGTTCTGTGCCGGAATCCTTCTATATCACAGTTTGAAAATATTACAAAGATTTGCTTTTAGTAACAAAAACAAAGAAAAGGGAGCATTTCCGCCCCCGCCCCCCCCCCCCCCAGCCTTGTAAACCAAGCTCCAAGCACAGGAAGGGCGATGGGCCGTGTCTCCGGCCTCCACCGGGCAAAGGCCCACCCGGGTGCGGGCTGGGGGGTGGGTCGGGCGCCCCGGGGAGCCCGCGACGCCAAGGGGCCCAGAGTCACTTACTGAGAGCAGCTTCCAGGTCATCGGACGAACCGGCTTGGGGATTCCCGACCAACTCAACTTCCGCAATTCCTCTGTCAACAAAAAGACGACAGTCGTTAGCAAACTCCCCAAGAGCCTGAGCCTCTTCCGCCGCATTGTGGGGCAGTGAGCCCCATAAATTAACCGGAACAAACCTGAAGGTAAGCAGCTCGGGCAACGGCCGTGCTGAAGGGACGCAGTTGCTAGCATCACGCTCCACCCAGCTCTGGCCCTCGACAGCAGCGGTTTGCCAAGGGCACCCGTGACCCTGCACACCCTTTCCCGGGGTCTGCTCCTCCCCAGCTCCCCCCGCCCGTTCCCCAGCTGAACCACCTGCAGGGGGCTCCCCCTCTCCCCAGAGGCTGGCCCTCGCCAGCTGGAGAACCCCACGGCAGGTCTGGCGCTCACGGGGACGTGTGCCGAGACGGGGCTGAGGAGGCCGGGACCGTATCACGCTCAAGGGCACCAAGTCGGCTGCTCAACAGAGGCCGACAGGCAGGAGGCCGAGAGGACACAGCTGAGGGCGAGGGTGAGACGCCCCCGATTGCGCCTGACCGTCCGCGTGACCCTGGCTGGCTGGAGAACAGTGCCACGTGCAGGAGCAGCGACGCCCGGCCAGCCCCCCGGGGCGGAGACGGAGGCTCCTTTCCTTCAAGTCGGGGACCCCCCATTAGGTGCTTGTCCCAGAGCCTGGAGCCATGATGAATGCCAGGCGCGAAGGGGATGATTAAAGAGAGGACTTTGGTAATACAATCAAGAAAATACAAAGTCCTGACATCTCATCTTTTTCCAATTACTAAAGTCTAAGTAAAATAAGTGCAGAATAATTGGGCCATAGTTCCAGCAATAACTCGCATTTTACAGCAATCTCAGAAAATATCAAATCTTCCCTGGCTCCCTGAGGATATTATGAAAAGCAAGCACCTAATATCTGAACACCAATAACGTGGTGTTTACCAGCCCCGGCCCCTGCCTCCCGGCTGCGGAGTCTGCTTTTCTGACGACGGCTCGGGAAGGAGGCGGCAAGGGCCCTGCGCGGGAATGTTCTCTGGGCCTGTGCCCCCAGGAAGAGCCGCACGAGCGGGGCCTGAACGAACACCGCGGCGGGGCCGGCTCTCCACGGGCTCCCGAGTCTGCAGAGCGCGCGTGCACCTGCCCCTCCAGGCGACGGGAGCTGCCAGGGCGCTAGCCCCGCTGGGAAAATGCGGGGCGCTCTGGGCGAGGCCAGGCGACAGTGCCCTGCACCCCGTCTTCCCACCCACCGGCTCCCACTGTTAAAAAGGCTTCTCGTGACGCAGGCACCTGTGGCCCGCACGGACAGGGCCGGCGGGGAAGCCCAGCAGATCGGAACCCGCGCTCCTCGGGCGGGGCCCCCAGGGGCGTCGGCCTCCAGAGGCGCGGGGTGAGGATGGAGCGTGTCCGCGGCCAGCTAGACGACACCAATCAGGCAGGTTTCTAAATACTAACAGTCACACTCGCCAAAAAAGCCCCTCGACTATCTACACAGGCCGTGCGAGCCGGCCGCGGCACGGAGGCCCGGGCAGGGGAAAGGCCGGCGCCCGGCCGCTCTGCAGGGAGGCTCGTGGGTGCGGGCGCGGGCGCGAGCCAGGTGTGCGGGGCGTCCCTTCGAGGCAGCACGGCCAGAAACCACCCGAGGTCAGGGAGTGACCGCACCCCGGGCGCCATGCCCATGGGAACACAGCCTCGCCTGGGTGGCCGGGGCCAAACAGCGCTCAATTCTGCAGCAAAAGGAGCAGTAAGCAGCGCGGGCCGAAGCACCCAGGAATCCGACGCACCACCGGGTGGGGCCAGGGGATGGCTCGAGGACAAGCCTCGCCTGGCAGGGGGCCTGCAGTGTGACCACAAAGCTCAGGACCCGCAGTCTCTCCCTTCACCTCCGATGCTTCACCCACCGAGCCAGCTTGGCCAGAGGGGCGCCCCCCCACACCCCACCCTGCACACTCCACCCTGGCGTCAGAGGAACCACCTAGGAGTGCCCCAACCTGGGCCAGGTCAGGAGCCCAACTCGTTGCCGGAGGGGCAGAGCCCAGGGCTCTGCTCGACTGTCCTGCCAGTGCCGCGCATTGACCAGGGGGTGCGCACGGAGAGAAGCCGGACAGTCTCCCCGCGGCCTTGGTGAGCAGGCTGTCCTTTAATGGGGGGGCATGTTTCCTCCCTGACCTGTGACGGATGCAGAGCATGGTGAGTGCCCCAGTGGGACGCATGCACAGCCTCTCCCTTTGCTGGGAGAGCGCACCCTGCTGCCACCTGTACCCCAGCAGGCGTCTGCTGGTGAGGCCTGCGCACCTGGCGCCGGCTGCTCCCCAGTGAGCACAGCTGGGAGCGCAGGTATCAACACAGTCAGCTGCTCGCAGACACCTGGGTCCTATCTACACTCCCGCTACAGCAGCTGCTGGAACAATCCCAGGGCCGGCGCCTGGTGGGGCGGGACAGCCGTCCGAGGGGTCGTGCGCCACACGCTGCCCTCCACACGCCCTCCACACGCCGCAGAGCCCAGGGCCGCCCACGCCCAGCGTCACCCCCCCAGGACTGAAACGGTCCCTCGTCGCAGCATAACGAGCAATTGTATAGAGACGAAAGACGCCGAGCGCGGAACAGATTTTCATGTGCTCATCGGCCGTTTCTGCACCTTTTATGAAGTTTATGTTTGACTCTTTTACCCACCTTTTTATTGGATTGTTCATAATTTTATTATCAATCCGTGGGTCTGTTTCTAGTGATTGATTTTTCCTCTGATTCGGGGTGACATTTTCCTGTTTCACTATGTGCCTGTTACGCTTTTATTGAATGCCAGATGCACCAGTTATCAGTTTACTGCCTCTGTGATCACGGCCCTGGGCCCTGTAAATATTTCTCCTTGGCCAGCTGGCACGATGTTGCCCTCTCCGTGGTGAGGGAAGGGGCACGGGGAAGGAGACAGGGACTGCGCCAGGTCTTCTGCCCAGCACAGCCCCGGGAGCACCATCCAGCTCAGCTCCTGCAGCCCGCGGCTCGCTCCCGGCACGGCCCCTCTGGGGTGACGTCCCCGCCCCGCCCTGCGATGCCCCTCCTCCGAGGGCAGGCCGGGCCGGGGCTTCTCCAATGTCCAGCCACTAGAGAGCGGGGCTCCCTGTCCCCCGGCCTGCGGCACGCGACGGCCACTCTCAGCAGCCGTGGGAGTGGGCACTGTCGGCTCGCTGCCTCCTGGGCCCCCTGCCCCGGCTCGCAGCATCGAATCAGCACCGCAGTCTCCAGGGGCCACTCCGCAGACCCCTGCGGCTCCAGCTCCGCAGCCCTCGCCCGGCACTCCCACCGCCCTGTCTCCACCTCCCGCGGCCCACCCGATGGCTCAGCTCCACGGGACTCGGGGGCAGGCAGGCTCCGGTGCCACAGCCTGGAAGCTGCCCCCGTGAGTGGAGCTGACCCAAAGCCCCGCACGTCCCCTCCCCTCAGGGCCTGTCCCGCACGCCCGCCCGCCCGCTGTCATCTGAAAGCGCTGCTTCAGGGCCTGGCCAGGCGTCCAGCTGATGGGGCAGGAGCGAATGCCCGCAGCTGACCCTCCGGGGCACAGCGAGGCCACGACCCCGCCACGCTGGTGGAGAGCGCTGTCCGCCTGTGGGGCTCTGCCTCCGCGGCCTTCTCTCTTCCTCACGACATCTCTGCGAGGCTCTGGCATCACCGTCACGTTGCCGCAATAAAATGAGTTGAGGGTGCTTCCTCTTCCTCTTTCCCAAAAAAGAATTTTCAGGAAACCGTCATCATTCTTAAACGTCTGCAGAGACGCCGCTGGCCCTTGGCTCCTGAGGTGAAGGCTTCCTCGCAGACTTTTTTTTTAAGATTTATTTCTTTATGCACACAAGAGCTGGGGTGCAGGCCAGAGGTGGGGGTTGGGGGGTAAGAGGTTTCACCAGAGACAGAGCGGGGAGCAGAACAGGCAGACTGACTGAAATCCACTGCTGAGGGGAGCAGCGGGAGAGGCAGGAGAGGTCTGCTGCGCCATGTGGTAACTCCCTGGCTGGCCGGGAATCGAACTCGTGCTGCAGAGGCTGCAGACAGCTCCACAGGGTTGTGCTAAACCCCATGCACCACCAGGGAGGTCCTTCCTTGCAGATATAAATTTTAGACTCAACAAGAGAGCAGAGCCCACCGTGTGCTCTCAGGCCGTGTCTTCAGAGCACAGTCCGTGCCCGGCAAGCCCGTGACCCAACGAGAGGCTGAGGCCCGGCCTGGCCACCCTGTGCGGCATGGGCTGCGGCTCCACTGCGCTCCTGCTGCTGGCCACGGTCCCTCTTCCTCGCCACTGGCCAGATGGACGTAGGTGTTTCCACTGATCATTTCAAAGAACTGATTTTGCATTTTGTTGATTCTTGCTCTTCTTTATCCATTTACCAGTGTATTGATTTCCAGTCTTACTTCATTTCCCTTCTTCCAGTAGGTTTCGTTTAATTTCCTCCACTTTTCCTAACTTCCTAAGGTGGCAGCTGTGATCACCGATTTAAAACACTCCTTCCTCTCTGACATGGCATTGGAAAGTACAGATTCCCCCAGCACTGGCTGAGACGCACCACACCGGTTCTGATGTGTGCTGTCATCCCCATTCGGTTCAAAATATATTTTCATTTTCTGCGTGATTTCTTCGATTCCTGAGTTGCTTAGAAGCACGGTTCTAGTGCCCAAGCGCCTGAGTGCTCCCTGGGCATCATGCTCTGGATCGAGCCTGACCCGGGGCTGGGCAGACGACAGTGACCTCTGTCCTCCGGGGCCTACTTGGTGACGGCGCCACGTCCGTGCAAGGAAGGCAGCTGCCTCGGGCTGGATGGGGCCCTTACCAGTGGGCTCCAGCTGCTGGTGTGGTCAATCACAGCTTCGAGACACACCGGCCGATCTTTACATTCACTTACTCTCTCAATTACTCCGGGGAGGGGGGAGGGAGGCGGGTAAATTGTCTGCCTATGAGGTGACTGGGGCAGAGACATTCAGGGGAGACAGGCCGACTGAGGGATTTGACCCGTCTAGCCTGAGCATCACGCCCCACTCCTAGCAGCGCCCTGTC